GCCCTCCGCACCACTCAGCCATTGCGGCACACCCCTCACACGTTTCGCGGCCCTATAGGGACTTCCACCTAAGCCTCCTGTGGGAAAGTTCGCATGGCACCACCGCCCCATTTCAGCACACTCCTCACACGCTTCGTGGCCCCATCGGGAGCTCCACGTGGGAAAGTTCGCATGGCACCACCGCTCCATTTCGGCACACCCCTCGCGCGTTTCGTGGCCCCATAGGGAGCTCCACCTAAGGCCCCAGTGGGAAAGTTTGCGTGGCATCACCGCCCCATTTTGACACACCCCTCACACGCTTCGTGGCCCCATGGGGAGCTCAACCGAAGGCCCCAACGGGAAAGTTCGCATGGCGCCACCGCTCCACTTCGGGACACCCTCACGCGTTTCGTGGCCCCATAGGGAGGGAGCTCAACCTAAGGCCCAGTGGGAAAGTTCGCATGGCACCAACACGCTATTTTCGGCACACCCCATACACGCTTCGTGGCCCCATCGGGAGCTCAACCGAAGGCCCCAATGGGAAAGTTCGCATGGCGCCACCGCTCCACTTCGGGACACCCTCACAAATTTCGTGGCCTCATCGGGAGCTCCACGTGGGAAAGTTCGCATGGTGCCACCGCCCAATTTCGGCACGCCCCCACGCGTTTCGTGGCCCCATAGAGAGCTCCACCAGAGCCTCCAGTGGGAAAGTTCGCATGGCGCCACCTCCATATGTCTGCACACCCTTCACACGTTCCGTGGCCTCATAGGGAGCTCCACCGAAAGCCTCAGTGGGAAAGTTCGCATGGCACCACCGCCTCATTTCGGCACACACTCACACGTTTCGTGGCAGTATACAGAGCTGCACCGAAGCCCCCAGTGGGAACGTTCGCATGGCACCACCGCCCCATGTGGGCACACACACACACACCTCACACGCTTCGTGGCCCCATAAGAAGCTCCACCTAAGCCCCCAGTGGGAAAGTTCGCATGGCACCACCGCTCCATTTCGGCACACACACACACACACACACCTCACACGCTTCGTGGCCCCATTGTCAGCGCCCAATCCTTTGCCCAACTTGCCGCGCGGCACTTGCACTCGCATGTGGTTGGGTCTTTCCGTCTGGCTAAACTTGGCAGGGAGGGCGACCGTCGCAGCTTTGTGGGCCCCCCGACGTCGGCGCGCGATGTGCGCCGCGCCCCATTCGTGCCACACTTTTCGCGCCGTAGACGACAAGAAAAACTACCCCAGTGCGACCCTACCTAGAAGTTGGAGCCCCTAGGAAAGCAGCATTAGTTGCTATGCTATGCTATGCTATGCTATGCCATGATATGCTGCGCGATGTGATGCTATGCTATGCTATGCTATGCCATGTTATGCTATGATATGCTATGCTATGCTATGGTATGCTATGCTATGATATGCTATGCTATGCTATGCTGCGCTATGCCATGCTATGATATGCTATGCTATGCTAAACTATGTCATGATGCGCCGTGCTAGACTACGATGTGCTATGCTATGATATGCTAGGCTGCGCTATGTTATGATATGATATGCTATGCTATGCTATGTTATGATATGCTTTGCTATGCTGCGCTATGCTATGCTATGCTATGCTTGGCTAGGTTATGTTATGCTATGCTATGCGAATGCAGCGCTGCGCTATGCTAAGCTAAGCTAAGCTAACCCTCTAGGCAGAGCCTAGGCAGGGAATTACACCCATGCTAATTACCCAAACAGAAAACTAAACTGGCGTATGCTATGCTGCGCTATGCTATGCTACGCTATGCTATGCTATGATGTACTCTGCTATGCTAAATGCTAAAGCTCAGCGAAGCTAATATGAAGGTAAGCTAAGCTAAGATGAACCTGAGCTAAGATCAAGCTAAACTAAACTAATATGAAATACGCTAAGCTAAGATTAGATAAGCAACGCTAAGCTCAGGGGACGTAACTGGGGGAACCGCGGGGCGGATACTGAGGGAACCGCCCGGGGCGCTTTCCACTGCCTGGCTCTTTAAGCCCAGAGAGTAAGAACCCTTCTATGCAGAGCCTAGGTAGGGAACCATGTTGAGGAAAACACGTCGGCTTTTGCAGTGTTTTTTGGCAAGTAGGATGGGACCTCCTGGATTGGCCCCCATCAACCAGCAAAAAGGGGGGGGGCAGGGTTTCTTCTAATAAAATAAGAATGGGGTTGCGGTGGGGTGGGGTGGGGTGGGATGGTGGTGGTGGCGGTGGCGGTGGTGGTGGCGGTGGTTGTGGTGGTTGTGGTGGGTGTGGTGTGTGTGTGTGTGTGGCACGGTGCCTCTGTATTCTTACGCCACCGCTGTGGCTGGAGTTTGTTCACAGACACGGATGTACCACGTTGGCGACTTCAAGCGGAGCCGTGCTCTAATGGGGGTTTGACTGCGGGGTTCCAACTGTTTGTGTTACCCTACCTATGCTCGACCCTTCCTATGCGCCACCCGCCTATGCTTTTTACAGCCGAATTCATTGATTCGCATGCCGATCAATGATGTTTGGTCTGCGCACTGGCCGCACCCCTCCGATGCTCGCTAGCGATCCCTTCGTTGGTTTTAATTCCCAGCCATCCTGTGGCATTAGGCCCCCGTTTTGAAGAGACGGTGCCCCGCGTTCCTCTCCTCTCCTCTCCTCCTTCCCTCTCCCTCCCCCTCCCTCTTCCCATCTTCATCATCATCACCATCACCGTCACCATCACATCACCGTCATCATCATCATCATCATCATCATCATCATCATCATCATCATCGTCATCATCATCATCATCATCATCATCAGCATCATCATCATCATCACCATCACCATCACCATCACCATCACCATCACCATCACCATCACCATCACCATCACCATCATCATCATCATCATCATCATCATCACCGTCACCATCACCATCACCATCACCATCACCATCACCATCATCACCATCACCATCACCATCACCATCACCATCATCATCATCATCATCATCATCATCATCATCATCACCATCACCATCACCATCACCATCACCATCACCATTATCAGCATCATCGCCATCATCATGCGTCCCCGCGATTCGTGTCAGCACATCCCTCACACGCTTCCTGGCACCATAGGGAGCCCCACTGAAGGCCTCAGTGGGAAAGTTCGCATGGCACCACCGCCCCATTTCGGCACACCCATCACACGTTTCGTGGCCCCATCGGGAGCCCCTCCGAAGGCTCCAGCGGGGAAATTTGAATGGCGCCACCGCCCCAGTTCGGGACGCTCCCCCACGCGTTTCGTGGCCCCGTAAGGAGCTCCACCGAAGGCCCAGGTGGGAAAGTTCGCATGGCGCCACCGCCATATTCTCGGCGCACCCTCACATGTTTCGTGGCCCCATAGGGAGCCCCACCGAAGGCCCCAGTGAGTAAGTTCGCATGGCGCCACCGCCCCATTTTCGGCACACCCCTCACACGTTTCGTGGCCCCATAAGCAGCTCCACCGAAGGCCCCAGTGGGAAAGTTCGCATGGCACCACCGCCCCACTTCGGCACACCCCTCACACGCTTCGTAGCACCATAGGGAGCCCCACCGAATGCTCCAGTGGGGAAATTCGAATGGCACCACCACCTGTTTTCCAGCACACCCCTCACACGTTTCGCTGCCCATAGGGAGCAAAAGCCCTATTGGGAAAGCTCGCATGGCACCACCACTCCATTTTGGCACACCCTCACACGTTTCGTGGCCCCATGGGGAGCTCCACCGAAGGCCCCAATGGGAAAGTTCGCATGGCGCCACCGCTCCACTTCGGGACACCCTCACGCGTTTCGTGGCCCCATGGGGAGGGAGCTCAACCTAAGGCCCAGTGGGAAAGTTCGCATGGCATCAACGCGCCATTTTCGGCACACACACCCCTCACACGCTTCGTGGCCCACTAGGGAGCTCCACCGAAGGCCCCAGCGGGAAAGTTTGCATGGCGCCACCGCCCCATTTCGGCACACACCTCACACGTTTCGCGGCCACATACGGAGCCCCACCGAAAGCCCCAGTGGGAAAGTTCGCATGACACCACCGCCCCATTTCGGCACACCCCTCACACGCTTCGTGGCCCCATAGGGAGCTCCACAGAAGGCCCAAGTGAGAAAGTTCGCATGGCACCACCGCACCATTTCGACACACATACCTCACACGTTTCGTGGCCTCATAGGGAGCTCCACCGAAGGCCCCAATGGGAAAATTCGTAGAGCGCCACCGCCCCATTTCGGCACACCCCTCACGAAGGAGCGCCCCGTCCTTCGTGCCTCTTGCTGTGCGGTACTCGCACTCGCATTTGGTTGGGTCCTTCGTCTGGCTAATCTTCAAGTTTAACTGCCCGAACCTCTGCGCCGCCGACCTAGCATGTGTGTGGTGTGTGCGTGTGGTGTCGAACCGCTCCTCCTCACACGCTTCTGGCCTGCAATTTGCAATGCAACTCGATCGATCTTTTCCGCACGACTCACTGTGGTGCGAATGTCCGATCTCGCTTCCTTGACTTACCCGTCTTACAAACTTATGGGTCATTCGCGCCTCCACCCGCCAACCGCGAGACGGCTAGGGTAGAACGCATCTAGAAGTGTGGCAAATTGGCACATAGCACCTCCAACCTGCTCAACGCCTTCAGACCTCACTGAGTCGGAATACAACAGAGACTTGACATGATCTTACGTGATCCTTTTGACCAAGTCACCGCTAGTGCGTAAACCGATGCGATCTTGGTTTCAACACGTGTGCTCGCGCTGCCAGACGCAATCTACAAACTCTAACCTCAATGAGCACACAGCGCCGCCCTAGCTCGCCACGAACATGCGGCACGCGCCCACCCTCTGCGCGAGGATAGCGAACGTACACGTCCACAACATGCAGAACTGCGCTACACGTACCATACTGGCCACGAGTCACCCGAACAATGTTGCATAATTCACCCCTTAGTGCGAAAGTGTCGTCGCTTCATGGAATACCAACGCATAATCTGCAATCTCCCCTTGTGCGGCCTTGCAATACCACGCGCCCATCAGAATCAGCGCGACCTCACTCAGCAAAGGAAGAAGTGCCAACTGCATCTGTGCTGTACTGATGCGGGACGCGGGCCTATGCGAATGTTGGTACTGACAACTTGAGCCACAACCACTTTAAACATACATGGTCGGGTACCAGGGCGTCTATACACAGAGTTCATCGACGGAAGCTGCTGCTCCAGTGGAAACCGTGTGCTGTCTGAAAGGTGCCTACGCGAATGTCAAGACATTGGCTCTCACCGCGCAAACCACACCCATCGACGTGGAACACGCATTCATACAAGAAAACCATTAGTGGGCGTGCGCGAAGTGGTGAAACACTGCAGCCAAACATCCAAAGTTTCAATGACACATCGCTCCGAACCAATATGAAGATTGGCTGGGTAGTGCCGCATCGAGAGTAGGTACAACACTCGATGCCATCATACACGATGGGTCAACCTTGAAACATACATTGGGAAACACATGCCCGCATGCAAATCAGAGCTCGGCGAGCGGGCAGACAAGGAAGCACGCGATACATGATCCATTGTACCTTGCACTTGTTAAACGCACTGGAAACTCAACCCGTATGCGCGGAATGAATCAATTGTACACGACGTTCATTTCTAATTGTGCTCATTTCTAATTGTGCTCGTTTCTAATTGTTCCTGGCCCCCTAGAGGCCAGGAAGAGGCGCAGGGTAGAACAACTAGAAATGAGAGGTTCTCGGCCCCCCAAAAAACCAAATAATTTTCGAAGACTTAGAAATGAGCAACGTGTAGACATGAGCTACGTATCTCCGCTGCTGCCTCTCTCGTTGCTGTTGCTACTGATGTTGCTGCCGTCACTGGCGTCGATGCTGCTGGTGATGCCTGGGCTGCCCGTGGTGCTGGTGCCGGTGCCGTGCAACATTTCGGGCCCTCCTGGAGCCACCTGGGGGCCATTGCGGGGGCCTCCCGGGCCTCTTGGGGCCCTGCGGGAGCCCTCCGACGGCCCTTGAGAGGCCCCCGAGAGGGCCGACGGCCCCAGGACGACCCCGGGAGTCCGAGACGACTTCGAGATGGACCCAAGAGGACCCTGTTGATCCCTACTTAGCTGACGACCCTAAGATTGTGCCAATATGGTTCCAATGTGACTCCGAAGCGATTCTTCCTTCTCCCCTCTCTTGGCTCGGGCCGATAGGACGGATGGGGGTGCTGGCCCTCCGCCCCCTCGTCGCCGACTTCTTACTCCTCCCCCTCGTCCTCGTCGCCCTCGTCGTCGTCGTCGTCGTCGCTGTCCGCCTGGTCCCGTTGGCCCCATACATAGCAGAAAACCGAATCCCGAACACAAACCGAATCCATCCATTCTCTGATCATGTCTCATCCAGATCTCGTTCGGGCTGCGTTGGACATCACTTTGCAGAGCCAGAGAGTACATAATAAATCAGCCGAACGATAAGCACAAATACAATTGATGTCAAGAGAACCCGCGAAGGACAAGAAACGGATAGTCAAGCTTGAGACTGAGCTGGACCAAATGAAATCCAGAATGCGCGGCTTCACCTTTGTGAAAGCGCCCCGGAAGCCAGCAACGGATGCGGACGGTGTGCCGGCGGAACCTGTGCGATACACTATGGAGAAGGAGGGGTGGTACAGACTGGGGTTCAAGATGAACTACGGGTACGCTGGATGTCAGACTACTCTTCAGATGCTGGACACAGGGGTGGGTGGGGTCTCCCAGGTCAGCATGCCACTGGACCCTTACGCCCCTGCTTTTCATTTTGCCCCCCCCCCGCCCCCCCCTTGAGTGCCATCCCCGTCTTGCCCGATCGCCCACTGATCAACCATTCGAGACCTTCCCTTGTCTTCTACCTCCAGCCATCCCTGCTGCCTCCTACCTCCCTTGCCTCCTACCTTCCTTGCCTCATACCTCCTGCTGCCGCTGCGTTCTCCCCCTCCTGCTTCGTGCGTCTCTCTTTCTTTCATGTGTTTGCAGAGTGGAGCGCGGGCAGTGGACAGGAAGCGCCTGTGTCCGACAGAACGGCGGCCAAGGCTGAGAACCTCACCAGGGCTGCCATATTTTGCCAGGGCGTGAATTATTTCAGAACTGAGTTTGCCAAGTTAGCTGAATAGTTGGACATCATGTGCAGTCATACTGGGCCGTGTGCCCTCTATGCCAGAGAGATCGGCAACCCCGTGTTGTCGTGGGAAGTGCACGCCGTGAGAGGAGATGCTGCGCAAATTCCACCGACGGGCGATCACATGAGATATTTGGATCTGAGCTGTGGTCCGTATTCTGCACGCCCCGCGTTGCTCTGGACGATGCGGCCACGGTAGTGACAAGCATTAGCCCTCAGCATTCATCCGCTTCGCTTGGGTCCCTCTGACAAGCACTGGGCTGAACCAGAAGCATCTGTGGGAGAGCAAGCTTTCTCAGCAGGCCTTTACACGATGGCAGATCGCGAACCTGCGCGCGTGCAGGACTTTGCATGTTATGCGTTCAAAGTTCGGGCTCGGTCCAGGTTTCTATCCTCGCATGCCACGGCTGGATTCGGCTTGGCGCGCTGGCTGGCTTGATTCAGAAATCAAGCATCACTGTTTGTCAGATTCTCGCGTTGGCTGGTTTGCAAGCTGCCAGGAGGCGACGGACAACTTGACGGAGAGCGAGGCGATGTTGCGCTCCATCGCTCAGCAACGCCGCCCCGGGGAGGACGAGGAGGAATGCCATTGGAAGCACATCGCTGTATTCTTGGGGGGATCGGATGCTGGCCCCGACGTCAAGGACTGCCCCACTCGCATGTTTCAGGAGATGAAGCGCTCGCCTTTCGTTTGGATATGCTGGACGTTCAGCCATCATCAAATTCGTCGAATGGCGAAGAAACAGTTGTCGAAGCACTCTTCTTATTCTTCTAATATGGCCAAGATGGCCAATTGCTGGAGGGCCCCCCCACATGCCAGCACGAATTTACAAAGCATGGGAACGTCTCACCAGCAGCGACAGAGTCAAGGCGGCTACTGGTCGATTGCCGCCGAGGTCCCTCATCGGCCGCTTCGAGGCATGTTATAAGACAGCAGCCTTTTTCCCTTTCGCCACCCAGCGTGAGATATCAGCAGTACGTCAACAGGTATTCGGCCCCGAGGCAGCAGGAGATCCCGCTGGCAACCCCGACGACCATGCACTGGACCCTGAGGTCGAGGGCTAAGTACAGGCAGAGGATGGGGAGGTGGCAGGCAGATGCGCTGGCGGCCGCCCACAACGCAGAGCATTGGGTGACAACTGCAATATTCCACGTCTCTGGAGGTCCACTGACCCATTTGCTCCACTGATTTGAAAAGAAGTCGAAGGGGATGGCCGATCGGCGCCAGGACGTGTTCAAGGCCAACTGCGTGTCCACCCTATCGAAGCTCGTGGTATCCGTGTCGGCTGAGATCGCAGGGGAGTGGGATGCACTGCTCGAGGAGGGGAGTCCGTACGCCGAGTAGTGGGAGTCTGTTTGCTTTCACGTTCCAAGCGACGTGGATATGAGTTCTGTTCGACTTACTTGCGTGGAGCATGTGCTTGATCTGGCAGTCGACTTCGACCGACGCTTCGTGCGACAGGTGGCCGAGTTTCCTTACACGATACTGTGGATGTCCCACGACGACTACAACGTCAGGTCGGAGAAGCGTCGGCAGGTGGCTTCCACGTAGCTGCAGCTTCTCTATGATGATCCCAGTGGGAATTCATATTGTGATGATGCTTCTTTGACTACACCTTGGTATATTGCATACTGCTGCCAAGCAGAACTAGATAATCCTGCATGTTCTGCATGTTCCTTTATGTGTTGTTATCATCCGCTCCTCCTTGCTCATCCTCCTTGCCCTTTCCCCTCCTGCTCCTCCTGCTCCTCCTGTTCAATCTCCTCCTTGCCCCTCCTGCCCCTCAGCCGCTGGCCCCATTGCGTCGCTCGTCTCCCCTGCCCCGCTCTGTCCTTCCATCCCGGGGGGGCGCTTGACATATTATCCTGGCGAAGGACCCAGCCATATGCAGCTGTGAGTACCACGTTGTGGGCACCGCTCTCGGTGGAACCCCCATATGGGGCCACGATCCTCGTGAGGGGTGTGCCGAAATGGGCGGGGGGAAACCCTGCGGCTGGGGCCTTCGGTGGAGCTCCCTTTGAGGCCACGATCCTCGTGAGGGGTGTGCCGAAATCGGCAGGGGTACGCATGCAAACCCTGCCGCTGAGGCCTTCGGTGGAGCCCCCCATGGGGCCACGATCCTCGTGAGGGGTGTGCCGAAATCGGCAGGGGTACGCATGCAAACCCTGCCGCCGGGGCCTATGGTGGAGCCCCCTATGGGGCCACGATCCTTGTGAGGGGTGTGCCGAAATGGGGGGGACGCGTGCAAACCCTGCCGCTGGGGCCTTCGGTGGAGCTCCCTGTGGGACCACGATCCTCGCGAGGGATGTGCCGACATGGTGGCCATGCGGCGAGCAGAAGCAAAAATGGGAGGAGGGAGGAGGGGGAGGAGGGGGCAGCGGGAGGAGGTGAGACGCGGGGCGCTGTCTCCTCAAAACGAGGACCCAAAACCACAGGATGGTTGGGAAAAACAACATAGCAGGAGACCTCCCGCTCTGCGCTTTTGGAACTTCAACTTTGGGAGCTCTTTCACTGCATCGATTGCATGCTCGCCTCCGACACCCAGGTGATCGAAGGCCTCAATTCAATAATTAAGAAATTGCTCTTGATGGCGCCCGCCACAGGCCTCAAGTTAATATCTAGCAGAGCTCTGCTGAAAAAATCGATGTCTTGGATTGGCAAGTCCCCGGAGTCCTTGGAGCACGACGTCTCCATACGCGTTTCCCTGCACAGCGAGGCGTTGATCGCTCTGGATGTCAAGGCCAGGTTCCCGACAGATCCATTAGAGTGCCCATTTCTACCTCTGCAGGGCCCCGAAGAGTTACATCTGTTGCAAGATGGGTCCGCTCGAGCTGAGGATGAGATCCCCGGGGGGCCCGACCAGCCTGATGAAGAGGCAGGGGGGCAGCCACGCGCCCCCGAAGAGCCGCCGCCTCTTCCCGATGCTGCTGTGGCGCCGAAACGTGCCAGAGCAGCCCCGCGGTCGAGATGTGCCGCTCGAGTGGCCGCGACACTTCTCACCCTTTACCCAGGTCGTACGCCTAGTGCCAAGTGGGTGATCTGCCTGACAGTTGGAGGCAAGCGCATGGACACCGCTTGGATGGTCGCTCATGAATTCAATCGCGGGTTCTGGATGGCAGTGGGCATTCTCTCGAGCGAGCACTTCGCATTGAATCTACCATTGTCGTTCTTGCCAATCAAAGCTGTGTGCGATCTTATTCACAATGAACTGCGCTGCCAGTGCGGCAGGGATGGGAGACTCAGGCCCACAGTTAAGCTCGTGGTGCTCAGAGTGTCCTGGGACCAGGAATCACTACGGCGAGCTCGACTCGATGGCCAGCACGGAGCGCGGAGTCTGGCTGGCGTTTGCAGGTGCTGGGCGGCTAGGAGAGTGAGGCGGCGTGATGACGGAGATGATGGAGGTGGCGACGACGGCTCAGGCGGAGGAGGGTCCCCCGGCGACGCCGCTGACGACGGCAGCGATGGCGAGGCTGGAGACGATGGTGCCTTCGACCAATCCTTGCTCGCTGAACTGTGGGCTGAGTTTGAGAAGTCTGCAGCGCGCCCAGGCGAAGACGAGGGTGGCCCCGACGTCGACTCTAGCAGCGGCGGCCCTACAGCATTTGAGGGCTTCTTGGCTGCCATAGGGGGGCCGGGCGATGCCGGCGAGGACGAGGGCGGCGTCGATCCAGCTTTGCTCATCGAAATGGGGTCCATGGAGAGGACGGCAGTACTGGCGAGGGCGGCTGCTGGGCAGAGTGGCGAGGCGATCGCGATGGACCGACGGGCAGCGGAGGCGAAAGACCGAGACCACAGCATGGAGCACGACTTGGCGGGACTAGAGAAGGAAACATTTCTGCAGGCGGCGTTGGAAACTGGCATCGGGGCTGGCGGCGACGTCGACCCTGGCCCGCCCATCACGGCCGCCTCAGCTGCCAGCGTGTTGAACGCATGGGCAAACGGCGTCCTCGCGACTGCCGACGCCCTGAGTGAGCTTCGGGACCCTTCGCACTGGATCTCTGACAACAGGTGTGCATCTCTGGTGTTGGTGACTGATGAGGACGCCAGCGGCAGTATTGAATGAATTTTCTGGGAAGACGCGGAGAAGGGAAAGGGCCGCATCATTCACGTTGACCCCGCCGACGGGATCATCAACTACAAGCCGCCAGCAGGGAAGCGGAGACAGTGCTCTCTGGGCCCTCTCTCTGCTCGGCTCTGATGTCGCGATCGTGGTGGTCAGTGGTCGTTGTCAGAATCCCCCCTTCTCCTCGTCATCCTTCTCCTCTTCGCGTTGCTTGGCATTGGCGTTGCTTGGCATTGCACGGGCAAGCCTTGGCAGCCCTTGGCAACCGTCCTCGTCCTCCCCCTACCCCCTCCTTCACCTCCTTGCCCTCGCTTCCTTGACCCCTCCTGGCCCCTGCTCCTAGTCCTTCTCTTCTGACTAGCCCTCTTTTGACTTCGGATTCCCACGTGTCTGCGAGCCCGGCCGGAGAGGTACAAAACAGAAATCCTGGACTGCCTGACGTCCGGGGCCATGAAGATCTTCATTCCGGATACTGGAGCACGTGACCTCCCGCCACATTCATCTGGTGTCTGCTATTCCCATCGGCTTGACTTCTTCCACATTTCCTTTAACCTGTGTTCGCGCATCCATGTGCCATGCCAATCATGCTCAACCCACCCCGACCTTCGCATGCCCGGAGGCCCCAGCTCCAATGCCTGGTTGGATTCTCCATCTCTCGCGATTGTTTCGCCCGCCAGGTATGAGGAGGACTGTCAAGCACTGGAAGAAGACGAAGGTCCCGCCCCACGTGCTCAGGGCCATGGGTACGTACTGGGTCCACATGGCCGACGCTGGGGCCCGCTGCGCTGTGTGCGCAGCTGACTGGGCCAACGCTAGGCCGCGGTCTTGCTTCGGGGGAGGTAGACGGAGAAGGAGGGGGGGAGGGAGGAGCAGGGGGAGGGATGGGTGATGAGTGAGGGACGGTGGGGAGGGCTGGTGTTGGAGGGGCACGAGGAGATAGGAGGAGGTGAGGTAGCGACAGCCGATGTATTTGCATTGTGTGTTTCGGGCACTGGTTCTGGGCAGCGTGACCAGGGGAAAGAGTATTGAGTATCTGTCAGACTCGTGCCTGTCTCGTATCCCTTGGGTGATCGGCGGCGGCGAGCTCTCTCGTCCCCTTCCCTGCCCCGCCCGCCGCAAGGCGCTGCAAGTTCTGCATGATGGGCAGGCACGACGCCTGCTCGGCCAGGCTGGCGGCGCAGCTCGGCCTCGATGGATGGGGCGGAGCTGCGAACGGGAAATGGGCGAGGGAAAGGTTGGATCATAATGTTACTGTCAACCCCCGTAGTGAGGATGAGCGACGTTCCGAGATTACTCTTGAATCCTTCCCCTTCGGCCCATCCTTGGCCACTTTTGCTGGCCGCGCCCTGCTCGCAAAGAGTCGACATGACTTACCAAGGACATGGCATCGTTGCCGCGCATCCTTATTACGCGGGTTGAGTTCGGAGGTCGGCTAGACTTGGGCGCCTGGGCGTTTGGGCCCCAGGGGGGCCAATGACGAGCGCCAGAGGTGCCATCCTCGGCCCTGACGCGGGAGATTCCCTGGAAGGTGCGGGGTGGGAAGAGAGAGAGAGAGAGAGAGAAAGAGAGTGTGTGTGGGAGAAGGAGAAAGAGAGAGAGAGGGAGAGAAATAACCATACACACGTGAATGTATGCATGTGTATATCGATATAGGTATTCCGTCTCCTCGAATATCATGTTATACATGTGTATGTATAGGTACATTTGAATGTATATAAATATTTATGTGTGTGTAGTCATTCTCGAATATTCTTACGAAGGGATCCCCCCGTGCATAAATTCGTCACAGTGCGCCCAATGAGCCATATGAGCCCTCTGAGCCCTCTGAATCCTGTGAACCCTATGATCCCTATGAGCCCTATGAGCCCAATGAGGCCTGTGAGCTCTACGAACCTTACGAGCCCTGTGAGCCCTCTGAGCCCTATGAGACCCTCTGGGTCCTCTGAGCCCCATGAGCCCTATGAGCCCCACGAGCCCTATGAGCCCTACGATCCCTATGATGAGCCCTATGAGCCCTGTGAGCCCTGTGCGCCGCATGAGCCCACCAGGCCCTATGGGCCCTATGGGCCATATGAGCCCGGCGAGCCCGGTGAGACCTATGAGCCCTCTGAACACTATGACCTCTATGAGCCCTCTGAGCCCTGTGAGCCCTGTGAGCCCTCTGAGCCTCATGACCCCTATAAGCCCTGTGAGCCCTGTGAGCCCTGTGAGCCCTATGAGCCCTATGAGCCCCATGAGCCCTATGAGCCCCATGAGGCCTTTGAACTCTATAAGCCTTACGAGCCCTGTAGGCCCTATGAGCCCTCTGAGCCTTACGAGCCCTATGAGTCCCCCCTGGGCCCTAGGAGCCCTATGAGCCCTATGAGCCCTACGAGCCTTATGAGCCCTATGAGCCCGATGAGTCGACCTTTGAGCCGCAGAAGCCCGATGAGCCTCATGAGCCCCATGAGCCATATGAGCCCTATAGCGCCCATGGGCTCTGTGAGCCCTGCTAGCCCCAGCCGCCCTATGAGCTGAGTCCTGTGCCCCATGAGCCCCATGAGCTTTATGAGCTCTATAAGCCATATGACCCCTGTGAACCCTATGAGTCCTATGAGCCCTATGAGCTATATGAGTCCTATGGGCCGCATGAACCCTAATAAGCTCGGAGCCCCACGAGCTCGTGAGCCCTAGGAGCCCTATTTGGCCTATGAGCACCCCTGGGCCCTCTGAGCCCCATGATCTTAAAAGGCGAAGCGCAGTGAGCCTGTAAACTCTGGTGTACCTGTTTATGTGTAAATGTATATGTACATGTTTATGCATATGCACATGCATATGTGTATGTATTTGTATATGTATACGTCTATGTAAACGTACATGTTTATGCATATGCAGCTGCATTTGTAAATGTATATAAATTTGTGTATGTATATGCAGTTGTATATGTATGTCTGTCTGTACGTATGTCTGTCTGTTTGTCTGTCTGCATGTATGTGTGTAGACATGTGTATCGGGGGTGTGTCGGACCCTGAAGCTTGGCCCAAATCCCCCCGCGGATATCCACACATGCACATACATATAGAGAGAGGGATATTAAGAAAAACATGGATGGAGGGAGGGAGGGCCACTGTTGCTGGCCGCGCCCTGCTCGCAAAGAGTCGGCATGACCTACCAAGGCCATGGCATCGTTGCCGCGCATCCTTATTACGCGGGTTGAGTTCGGGGGTCTGCGAGACTTGGGCGCCTGGGCGTTTGGGCCCCGGGGGGGCCAGTGACGGGCGCCAGAGGTGCCATCCTCGGCCCTGGCGCGGGAGATTCCCTGGAAGGTGCGGGGTGGGGAAAGAGAGAGAAAGAGAGTGTGCGTGGGAGCGGGAGAAAAAGAGAGAGAGAGAGAAACAAAAAAAACATCCACATGTGAATGTTTGTATGTATGTGTGTTTGTATGTATGTATGTATGTATGTATGTATGTATGTATGTATGTATGTATGTATGGATGCTTGCATGTATGCATGCATGCATGTAGATAGGTAGGTAGGTAGGTAGGTAGGTATGCATGTATGTATGCATGCATGCATGTATGTATATATGTATGCATGCATGCATGCATGCATGCATGTATGTATGTATGTATGTATGCATGCATGTATGTATGTATGTATGTATGTATGTATGCATGCATGTATGTATGTGTGTATGTATGTATGTATGTGTGTATGCATGTATGTATGTACGTTTGTATGTATGTACGTATGTACGTATGTGTGTGTGTATGTCTGTATGCTGTATGTGTATATAACTATTCCGTCTCGAATATTATGTTTTGCATGTGTGCGATTATGTATATATATGTATATTTATACACATATATATATATATATATATATATATTCCTCTTCCTATATTTGTATAAGCCCGGGCGGGGGGGAAACCCGTCACCCCCCCAAAAAAACCGGACTCCCGGGACCTGGGGCTTTGGGGCCCTCCGGACGGGCCTCGAAGCGGCCACTGGGCCTCGCAAGGCGTTTTGCCAAGCCTTCCCAGCACACTTAGGGCGATCAGGGGGGTCATCGGAGACGTCCCAGAGACCCCCAAGACAGCACAAGAGCGCTCCAAGAGTGACCGACGTGACCTCAAGATGGCTCAAGAGGCCTCCAGGACGGCCCCAAAGAGGCCTCCAAGAGCACTCCCAAGAAGGCCCCCCGAGGCAAAAATCATTGATTTTCTGTGGGTTTTTGGTGAATTTGGGGTTCTCCTCTTTTCGGCTTCCCGACGCTCCAAGACGGCGGTCTTCTGGGCGTCCGAAGCCGCCTGGGAGGCTCCCAAATCGCCTCACAACCATCCGAAAGGGCTTCCAGGCAGTCCAAGAGAGCCCCAAAACGGCACAACACGGGTCCAAGATGGCCCTCAGAGAGCCCCATGGCGGCCCAAGATGGCCCAAAGACACCCTCCGAAGAATTCCAAATCGTGATTCGGTCGTTCAGGGAGACGGCGGTTGGAGGCAGGGTGGCCCGAGGAAGCCCCCGGAAGCCCCCAGAATACGCCCAGGAGGCCTCCAGAAGGCCTTAATAAAGCCCGAAAAAATTGTTGTGAGGCCCCTAGAGGCTCTCCAAGGAGGAGCCTCCGCAAAAAAAAGCTGAGGAGGATGGGGTGAATGCGCAGGGTATGGCGAAAATAAGGAACCATAAGCATGGAGGATGGATAACGAATAACATCATTATAGCGGCGATGCCGGAAAAGGCAACCAGGAGTTATCGCTAAATTGTCGGCTTGACCTTCCTGCCATTCCGCCTGCATACCAAACTTCAAGGACCAAGCTGCATGGCGCGAAGCGCCACTGCAGTCTTGTATATCTATATATGTATATGTGTGTGGGTAGCCCTTCTCGAATATTCTTACGAAGGGACCCCCCGTGCATAAATTCGTCATCACAGTGCGCCCAATGAGCCATCTGAGCCCTATCAGCCCTCTGAGCCCTCTGAATCCTGTGAGCCCGATGATCCCTATGAACCCTATGGGCCCAATGAGGCCTGTGAGCTCTACGAACCTTACGAGCCCTGTGAGCCTTATGAGCCCTCTGAGCCCTCTGAGCCATACGAGCCCTATGAGTCCCCCCTGGGCCCTCTGAGCCCTCTCAGCCCTATGAGCCCCACGAGCCCTAGGAGCCCTACGAGCCCTATGAGCCCTGTGAGCCCTGTGAGCCCTGTGAGCCGCATGAGCCCACTGGGCCCTATGGGCCCTATGGGCCCTATGAGCCATATGAGCCCGGCGAGCCCGGTGAGACCTACGAGCCCTATGAACACCATGACCTCTATGAGCCCTCTGAGCCCTGTGAGCCCTATGAGCCCTCTGAGCCTCATGACCCCTACAAGCCCTGTGGGCCCTGTGAGCCCTATGACGCCTATGAGCCCTGTGAGCCCTATGAGCCCTATGAGCCCTGTGAGCTCTATGAGCCCTACGAGCCCTATGAGCCCTATGAGCCCTATGAGCCCTACGGTGCCTTTGAACTCTATAAACCTTACGAGCCCTGTGGGCCCTATGAGCCCTCTGAGCCTTACGAGCCCCAGGAGCCCTATGAGTCACCCCTGGGCCATACGAGCCCTATGAGCCCTATGAGCCCGATGGGTCGACCTTTGAGCCGCATAAGCCCTATGAGCCTCATGAGCCCCATGAGCCATATGAGCCCTATAGCGCCCATGGGCTCTGTGAGCCCTGCTAGCCTCAGCCGCCCTATGAGCTGAGCCCTATGTGCCCCATGAGCCCCATGAGCCCTATGAGCTCTATAAGCCATATGACCCCTATGAACCCTATGAGTCCTATGAGCCTTATGAGCCATATGAGCCCTATGAGCCGCATGAACCCTAATAAGCCCTATGAGCTCTCGGAGCCCTACGAGCTCGTGAGCCCTAGGAGCCCTATTTGGCCTATGGGTCCCCCTGGGCCCTTGTAAACTCTTGTGTACTTGTTTATATGTAAATGTATATGTATTTGCAAATGTGTTTGTATATGTAAAGGTATATGTCTATGCATATGTGTATGTTTAGATGTGTGCATATGCATTTGTATATGTATATGCATGTGTATATGCATATGCATTTGTATATGTCTGTCTGCCTGCCTGCCTGTCTGTCTGTCTGTCTGTCTGTCTGTCTGTCTGTCTGTCTGTCTGTCTGTCTGTCTGTTTGCATGTATGTAGATATGTATATCGGG